AGAAAATCCCAGAAAAAGAACTGAATGTAATGGAGGCAATCACACTTGCCAGGTACAGAGTTCAAAAGAATGGTTATAAGGATATTCCAGGAATTTAGGAGAAGAATGAACTCCCACGCTGTTCCCCACCCCGCTCCCACGCTGCACCCCAACCCCGCTCACAGGCTGCACCCCGCTCCCACACTGCCCCGACCCTGGTCTCGGATGAGGCTGACTCTGGGCCTCAACAGCCCGGCACCAAAATGGGGCCGTGGGCCTCAAAGGGTGAGACATCGGCTGCCTGCCGTGCGACGGGGCGGCCTGGCCCCTCAGGCGGACTCCGAGGTCACAGAGGCAGCCCCTGACCTCTGGGGGGAGGGGAGCTCCCGTGGGCACACCCAGCCCTTCTCCAAGGCTGCTCCTCGCGGCGGGCCCAGCTAATGGCCTCCGGGCGCTCGGGATGATGCATCATTGATAACTTGTAATCGATAGCACGCTGCCCGCGAGCGTCCCACTGGACTTCGGGCCAGACAGCGGCGGCCGGGCCTGCCCAGCCCCAGGCCACGCGGTAGACACAGCCTGGCAGTGAGGGGGCCGGGGGTGGGCCTGAGAACACCCACTGCAGGGCCCCTGGGCAGGCCCCTGGGAGGGACGGGGCCTCGTTTCCCGTGCAAACGGGCCCGTGGGGGGCAGCCTGTCCTGGATTCGGGGGGGGAAAAGGAGGTGCAGGCACCGCCCTCCTTAATGCACGTCGTTAGCTGAGCACCGCTGATCAGAGAACCAGGGCCCCGGGAAGCCGCAGCATTACTGGAGCGAGGGGGCCCCGCGGGGCTGGGCTGTAATGTGCGGGGGGCGGTGGGGGGGCCTGTGCGGTGGGACTCCCAGCGCGTCTCTGCCTTCGATGGTCTGGGCTGAGTGCAGTGGACACGCCTTGGCCGATCGATGCGCACTCTGGCCGGAGCGCGAGGGCATCTAATGCAGCAGCAGCCATTTCCTCCCGGCCTGTTGGTGCTGCCGGCACAACCGCCTGCCCGCACGCCCGTCTGCTCCTGGGACGCAGCCAGTGTTGATTCCCGTTAGGGCTGCCGTTGTTGGGGACAATAAACATCAGGAGACAGCGGCAAACGTATGATTTAGGAGCAGGGGAGCCGAGTGCAAACTTGGCCCCTCGCCATCCACCGTGAAATGACGGGTAGTTGGCCATAAATTTAAATTATGGCAAAAGGATAACATCAGTTATTCCTCTGATAGCTAATTTTATCAGCTGAATAGGTTTGTCATTAACGCTATCGGCTGTTTTACAAATCACTTCCCATGTTTTTTTAAAACACACTTGACATCCCACAGCGGAGACCCTGAACAATCCAGGCAGCGAAGGCTGTTGTGCCGAGTGGGGGGCTCCCTGGAAGGAGCCAGCGCCAGGCGCTCCCCGAGTCCAGGCAGAGCCCTTTCCTGCTGCTTCTGGCCCACGGAGGGCGCTGCGGCCTCAGGGCCGAGGCCCAGCGAGCCATCTGCCATCAGCATGGTCTCGGGGCCCCGGGCGTCCACAACCAGGCGCGAGGCTGGCGCAGGCGCCCCGGCTCCCTGATGGGGGGAGGGGGCGTGACCTGCCCGTGAGAGGCCCAGTGGGTGGAGGGAGGGGAAGGGACAGCTGCCAGGTCTTGGCCTGATGGATGCGCCCCCACCTGCCTCCCCCCGAGATGCCTGTAGCGTGGGGTCACGATGATCACCTGCTCCTTAAGGGAAAAGGCAGGGGGCGGGCACCGCGGCAGGGAGTGTCACTAAGCGAGATGACGCCTTTGGCTCCATGGAAAGGGAGAGAGGGGCCTGTCCTGAGGACAGGACGGCCTCGCTTACGGATCAGGTGACTGTGCAGGGCCGGCTTCCTCCTCCCGAGACCACTGCCTTCAGCACCTGGCGCCTTAGGTGTGACTGCAACTGAGCTCCGCCCACAGGTGGTGGCAGAAGCCATGTCGCCACCTTCAGGCCCAGCCAGTAAGACCCTGTGCACACCCCTCTGTCCCCTGGGCTAAGGGGGAAATGGCAGGACCTGGAACTGGGAGGCGCCTGGAGGCAGTGAGGGACACAGGGCCCTTCCCTCCCAGCCTCAGCCTGCCCCGTCCAGGTGGCCATTCCTGCAGGAGGAAGGCGGCCCACAGCCCTGAGGCCACTCCCGCCTCCCTGACAAGCGCGAGGCACTGGATTCGATACCACGGAGCTACCAGCTCTGACCAACTCAACACGAGCAACAATCCCTGACGGTGCATTGTCGGTGGTTACCCAGTGATTCAGCATCTCTCTCTCTCTCTTGGTTTACATTTTCTGAGGCTCCAATGAGCCAGACTGGAGAGAGAGAGAGAGAGAGAGAGAGAGAGAGAGAGAGAGAGGTAGAGATAGAGACAAATAGAGAGATAGAAATAGAGATAGAGTTAGAGATAGAGAGAGAGAGAGAGAGAGAGGGAGGGAGAGGTAGAGATAGAGA